CTCTGTGTGTGTGTGTGTGTGTCCCTCTTTTGTCTCTCTCTCTCTCTCTGACTCTGTGTGTGTGTGGCTCTCTCTCCCCAACACACACACACAAAAAAAAACTTACACATACTTAGTCATACACACAGATTCACTCACTCACTCACTCTCTTCGCCTCCTCGGTACTCGGTATTCGGCGGTTCTTACACATACTTAGTCATACACACAGATTCACTCACTCACTCACTCTCTTCGCCTCCTCGGTACTCGGTATTCGGCGGTTCGTTATGGCATTGGCTGTCTGTGGCACTTACCACACACTTAGTCATACACACACAGATTCACTCACTCACTCTCTCTCTCCCCCTCCTACTCGGTATTGGATCGTTCGTTATGGCATTGGCTGTCCGTGGCTCCTGCCTCCTCCGGGCGGGGGGGGGCGGAGGGGGGGGGGGGGGGGGGAGGGTCTGCTATCTTCACCCCCTCCGGCCCTTGCCAGATCTGGCTCCAAAGCTGTATTATGATCGTAATCAGTCCAAAAATGTCATAGTGTGAGCATGCCATCAACGAGCGCGCACCCTTGCTAATCAATCACGAGCTGCCACGTGCTGGCGAACCGGCGGCCATCAACATTCGCAGGCATTTCCTTTTTTGGGGGGGAATTGAAAAAAAAAGCACCATTTAGATTTCGTCCACGCTTGCGCACCCGACTGCACCAATGCCCGGGCGCAAACGCGGCTGCTTGAGCGGAATGAGCCCTGACTTCGTCTTCACGACGATTCCAAAGTGAAGGACGCTCGTATCACCTTCTCGAGGAGTCCCGCCCCCCGCTTGATGATTCAAGGGAAAAAAAAAAAAAAAAAAGGGAAGAAAAAAGAAAAAGACGAATCCACCTGCGGCTACAGCTCTAGATGGCATGCATGTCCAGTTTTGTGTGAATCACCAGCCGTCACGTGTTGCAAGATACAAGATTGCGCCGAGTTGCGTACGTCAACCAAAACACCTCACTCCTTTTAAGCAGCAACCTGCTGGTCGTCGACGTCCCATATCGCCGCCAGGAGACCGGTTGTCCGAATATGATACTGGAATTGATCTTCGCAAATTACTAGACCCTCAAATCCGCCCTTCCCCTTTCATTTGGCCATCTCTCTCTCTCTCTCTCTCTCTCTCTCTCTCTCTCTCTCTCTCTCTCTCTCTCTCTCTCTCTCTCTCTCTCTCTGTGTCTGTGACGTACCACCTCTACCCCCCCTCTCTCTCTCCCTCTCTCACGCAGACACCCCTACACACACAGAAAATTATGTGTCCGTGTCTGAGCGCCTCTTTGTGGCTAATTCGAGCTCGCACACAAGCTCTATATGCCCGTGTGCCGCCGTGTCTGAGCGCGCGCGATTGTGAGCGGGAGGTTGACGACCTGAGCTCTTGGAGGGTCCTGATTGGACGGACCGCTACCGTCTTCACCCGAATAGAACGCCCGGTCATTACAGCTGTGTCGGATGCATTTTTCAGTCCAGATACGCCCATAATTACCGGGCGTTCTATTCGGGTGAAGACGGTAGTTGGAAAGAGATGGCATTTCGTAGAAAGTGTGGAGGGAGGATCAGTCCGTCGAGCACCGAGTGGTGTTCCATTTCTACATGCAGGTCAACTGGGAGCAATGGCGTGCAAGAAACTCATTGTGGAGCCTGTTTTGGATCTCTGTTTGCGCCGCAATCTCACCTAATGTTGCCCTCGCACTAAGATCAAACTGGGTAGAGACCGAAGATTACCATACTTTGGCATATGTGCAGAATCTGCAGATCGCGTGGCTAAATACAGTCTGAAAGGTACTCCGCACGCAGGCACTTATGGATCGCTCCGCCTCGTGTCCATGACGCCAGAGCAAGCAGTCCCATGCAATCTGTCTGGGGCTAAGCCTTACTAGCTGAGGTTTGGTCTCCCTTTGGAGTATTTTTCAACGTGACCAAAGTGAGGCCGTGAGGTGTTCAGACCGGATGGCAGGAACCGGTGCGTACTCGCAACCAAAGTCTTAACCCCCGCTAGTGGGACTTAGGCCCTGGATTAGTATCATATCAGCAATAGTACATGTATGTGACTATGCAATCCTATCACAACATGTAGTATGGATGGATCGAACATGAAGGCAATCCACAGGATAAAAGTGAGTGCGATGTTTTTGTGTTTGGGCCGCTTTTTTCCATCTCGACGGTCTTTCTCATCGCCACATCAGCTTCAATATCCACTCGTCCAACCAGAACACAAAAACATCCACTCGTCCAACCAGAACACAAAACATCCACTCGTCCAACCAGAACACAAAAACATCCACTCGTCCAAACAGAACACAAAAACATCCACTCGTCCAAGCGAAAGGGGCAGCATAATTTCTACATCGTACACCAAAACCATCCCCACTTTCGCCACCACCATGCTCACCATACATTTCTTCCCTCCCCCCCCCGGCCTTCCCTCTTTTGCTGCCATTTCCCAAAAATCTCGTTGTCAGTGCTAGTGCTACACCTCTCTCTCTCTCTCTCTCTCTCTCTCTCTCTCT